CACCAAACAATCCGTTCTCTCACTCTTACTCTCTCACTCGGATTCTCTCTCTCTCTCTCTCTCTCTCTCAACCTGTCGCCAAAAGACGATCCCGCCGCAACGGCATCTTTAACCTTTACACCGCCTACAAAATCTGCATCAAACCAAACTTTCCCCAATGGCCCAATTAAATATCTTACATAAATCTGGTAACACTGGGAGGCAGGGAGGGAGGGAGGGAGGGAGGGAGGGAGAGGGGGGGAGAGAAAGGAAAGAGAAAGGCGACGAGGACAGGAAGGGAAAGGAGAACGAGGGAGGGAGGGAGGGGCGGAGAGACGGGCGGGCCGATGCGCGCCATACACCCAAACAACCAATTTCCAATCCGCTGCTGGAAATAGGCGGGTTTGCAATATTGCTTCCATATGATAATGGTCCAATGCGCCGATAGAATACGAATGTCCATAATGTCGGCCGGTCTCAGAGCTAAGCTGGCCACACGATATATAAAATACTGCTTGATATTTAAATTTCCTCGGCGTCCGTGTGAACGCTGCATACTATAAACGCTTGAATTTTTGAGACTAAGATTCTACATAACAGACTCGAAAGGCCATCGCCAAGAAAACCCATGTCTCTCCCCTTCCCCCTTTTCACCCCTTCCCTCCCCCTCCCCCTCCCCCTACTCCTGACCCCGACCCGCCCTCGCGACTCCCTTGCTGGGGAAGCCGAGGAAGAGGCAATGCCGGCCAGCGAGCCCTACGCCCGTGGATTTCCGATTCCTGTTATATCATAGGGTAAGTTATATCATGCGATATATCATATGCTATCATTTATCGTATTGCACCATATAATTTATCACACATAATATTACGTACACACATGTATGTTGTAAATACGGTTAATTTATATTCTTTTCTTTTTCTCTTCCATAAATTGAACGCTACTGAACATCCACTGAACTATTGGCAATTTACTAGATTGACGTTTCTTAGAAGTGCCTGCTCACACGCATCTAAATGAATGAATGAATGAATGATTTATTTATTCATTCAATTCACACACATATCTCTGTACAAACAAACTAATATTCGTCTATGTGAAATTAAACCTGAATAAATATTTTTAAAAAAGTAAAAGAAAATAGATATAAACATTTGAAAATGACCTCCTACATGCTGTCCTGAATGGCTGCAAGTGCACCCCCCCCCCCTCCCAGCCTCCCCCATTCACCTTGTCCAAGTCCATTGAAAGAAATTTTATCGTTCCATATAGTCCACACTAATGTTAAATGCGGTCAACAATTACAGCTGAATTTCCTACAAGCTCTTTCTTTAAATTTTTATAATAAGTTCTTCGGCCGAAAAAAGCAGCGGCGCCTCGGCAGGGCGAGATTAACATAGAAAACTCCTTAAACTAATCAACGAGCGCCAAAAATAGAAGGAGTGTATTTAGCACGAACAAAAATGGGAAAGGGCGTAAAATCTGCCATAAATGAAGGCAATATGGTCTGGCCACACTTGAATACTTCCAGTTAAGTACATTCTCAGGTCATATAAAAGCTTCAAAACATCACATCTCCAGTGCCAGGCAGTGAGTCTCACCCTTAGCCCAAGGGTGAATAAGGTCCGTTTCTCTCTGCGCATCAGCATACACCTGCAGAGAGGTTCTATATGGCTATTCATATAATAAGCCATGATTATGCAATTTAGACGATCAAGCAAGTCGGTCTACAGAAAATGCATGCAATTGAGGAGAATTTCTCTTGAAAGCCAATAGCGACACTGATTATTTATATCAGGGTCAGGACTACACGCATTTGCCGGATCAAAGGCAATGATTCAATTTCCTCGGAGGGGAATTTGCACAAGTGTTCCGATCTACTTGTCAATACAAAGCATCAATAACAAAGCACAGACAAGCCTTTTGAGCAACTATTAAGGACGAATTCTCTTCGCTCACTTTATAAAATAAAATTCTTTTCTCGCGGGCACGGAAAGAAAGCAGCCCCAGAGTTACGTTCACGACGCCGCTCGTCTCCCCGCCGCCGCCGACGCCCCTCCACGCCGATCTTGTGCTACAGTGACGCGAGTCTCGCGCCCGCCGCCCACTCCACGTCCCGCCCGCCCGAGCCAATCAACCTATCAATCATTCCACAACTCGTTTCCAACATGCACACAGCCGATACTTTCGTTTTGTTAAGATTGTTCGTTGCGCGTTTCGCATGCTCTTTATTGCCACGTTGCTATTGTGTGTCCAGGAAAGAAACACCGGCTATGTGCTCGTGCTGGGGTTCCAGGGAGGCAGAAACTAAAATCTACAGGGCCGTCTGACCCCCGCGGCCATTGAACTCAACGCCACTGATCTAGATCCCGCAAACGCGAAATCAAGGCGCATTTGCCCCTTCTTAGCACACTACGCACAAGCACGCAGACGCACGTACCCTAACACACCTACACGCCGAGTTCGAGCAGTAATGATATGCGTAGAGGAAGTGCCGGCTGTACCCCAACTGGTACGATTTGCCTGCATGCACCCCCGCCCCTCCCCGGCCCCCCGCCAATCTCACGCGACTCCGGGCATCATCCAGGGGTCGCGCTACCTGTAATCACAGCCATTATAAAATATATAACTCTTATTGTCTGGCGATCGTCTCCGATAAGGGAAGAAATCCTAAGACCCGAAACTTGTATAAATTACATGCTGCGAGACGCTGTATCTCAGTGTTGGGGGACTTGGTCATCATCCTGCTCTTACTACCTGCTGCGACTCTTCCCCGGAATTCTATTATGACCTTCATTCTCGTCGTGGTTATTGATTCCTATCATTATTCCTTATTACTATCCTAAATTAATATCTTAAATTGATATCTTTATGCCCTCCTCTTCCACTTGCGGGACGGAATGAGCTTCGCCCGCGTAAGATGTCAATGGCGGGCGGTCGGGCGGTCGAACCCCCAAAAGCATCCCCTTCGAGTCCGCAAGATTTCGGCAGCAGCACGCCTTCCCTTCGGCGCGGCTCTCGGAGAAGCTCTCATGCCCGGGCCGCGACCTGGCTGTCCGTCTGGGGATGGAAGGAGGGAGGGAAAAAGAGATAGAGAAAGGAGGAGAGGGAGGGAGGTAGGGATCGAGGGGGAGAGAACGAGAAAGGCAGCAAGGGGAGGAAGAGGAAGTGGGAGGGAAAGGGAGAGGGGAGAGAGAGGGAGGGAGGGAGGGAGGGAGAGAGGGGGAGAGGGGGAAAGGGGGAAAGGGGGAGAGAGAGAGAGAGAGAGAGAGAGAGAGAGAGAGAGAGAGAGAGAGAGAGAGAGAGAGAGAGAGAGAGAGAGAGAGAGAGAGAGAGAGAGAGTGTGTTTAAGGCGTCTGTGTGTACGTGTGCGAGTTCGCGCCTGTGTATGTTTATCTGACGGCAGCACAGATGATACGTGTGCGGGTGTGCGTGTATGTGCGGTTGACACGGCGGCCACCGCTCGCCCGGGCTACCACACCCCCCACTTGAGCTGAGGCTATCAAAGTTGCTCAGTCACAGTATTTGCCGCCGTGGAATTTTAATATCTGTCCGTATTTGGGATTGTAGGCGATAATCTGGATCCCCTGGCACTGTGGATCACGGGACGACATTCGTAAAGATGGCAATAACTCTCTTAATGGCTTAGTTTTATTGAATAATTCTTTACTTTGCATGAGTATCGCCCCGGGCATTCGCCGCTCTGTGTCCCGGCTTGTATAACGACGCTTGCGCCCTGTCCTTCCGAGGATAAATAAGGAGAGAAAAAGGGTGAAAACGACCGAATCCGATAATGGAAATTAATCCCGGCAAGTGTGCTACATTTGCGTCGTCCTCGTCCCGCCTAACTTACTGGAAATATAATGTCTTAAGCGATATAACGATACAGACTACGGACGGGAATAAAAACAAAGAAAACCACCAATACCGCGCTGGACGTAACACGCGTACGAAGGACATAACAGAGGAGAAGCTACAGAAATGTCCCCGTCCAAAGAAAACGTGTAACTTGACAATCTCCGCCAGTCGACCGTCTAGAGGGAGGGAGGTTTATGTCATGGAGATGCGCCATTTTTGTTTTATAACCTACACTTATTGGTATAATTAGACGCCGAAATGTGAATGTCTGGAGCCTTATAAGAGCGGTATTTAGTGCCCGCGTCACGACAAGCCGTGTCTGCCGCTTTTGTCTTTTCTCTTAATGTGATTGTTCTCTCTTTCAGAGTTTTTCTTTTTGTTTTTATTCCTTTATCTGTTTTATTATTCGTTTTTGTCCTTCTTTGTAGGTACCCTCTTTATTTCTCACTGCCCTTTTTTTCGTTCGTTCTCTCTTCTTTTTCTCATACTCTCACTCTCATGCGCGCGCGCACACGCACACGCACACAGCTTCCATGCCCAGCCCATTATCACTTCAAACTCGCCCTCGAACCAGCGCTAGGCCTAACCTCCCGCCCTCAGCGACTTACCTTCAGACGTGTTGCAGCACCAAGACTTTTTTTTCTTGTCTCACACATAGAGGCGGCCTCCGTGCTGGCTGGCCGGACCCGCTGCTTATCTCCGCCTTGACTGACAGACAACTACGGCAGCAGCCACTGATCTGTTTTGTGAGGCTGACGGATCCAGTCAAAATACTCACTACAGGCAGGGGCTCATCCCTGTATATACTGTTTGTATATATTTATTGATTTGGGTCATGTGGAATTTGCATATGAATATTCTGTGATCGCGGATCATAATGCCGATGCATGCTCTGGCGTATTGAATGTTTTCCTGGCCTGCCAATTTTCTAGAAATCCCTCAATGAATTATGCAAATAATTTTCTTTTATCTTTTGAATCGACACGGCAAGACTGAAGTGCAGAAATAACTCCCAAATTCACAGGGAAGTGAAATTCAAGTGCTTTTTATTCATAACCAGGGTTAATAATACGTATATATATATATATCAAACTGAGGAATTTGAAACAGGTATTGTCCGTTCATGTAATCAACGCTACAATGATCATGGTTAAAAAAAGGCATTTTAGCTTGAGAAAAAAAGCTTTTATTTACATCGTACATTCAGTCTAGCTTACACAAATCATCCGGGCTTCAGTAAAAGCTAAAAAATACTCTGTAGAAATATGGAATAATCGTCGCGAACAAACAATCCCTCATGAAGGCTATCATCCAGCGCGAACGTTAGACAAACAAAACTAATTTTGTTAGCTTTAGATTTTTTTTCCACTACAATACCTGCCATTCTAACTGAAAAATCCAAACTCTAAAAATACAGTAAGCAATGTAAACGGCTAGACAAAATTAAAATAAAAAAGAAAAAAAGAAAAGACAAATTTGGCATACAGTATCACATTCCTTTGTAAGTTATCACAAATGAGTTAGGGGAACCATTTGGCCATATGACAGGTAGATGAACCAGGTAACAAGTCCAGCCTTTTTACCTGGCCATCGTCCAGTCCTTTACCTTTCTCTACCCAGTGGGTTACGTCATCATCACACTTGCTTACTTTACGTCCCGCGTCGCCCAGGGTGGAAGTCAAGGCGCTGATCACACCTCTTCCGTCTACAGATAAATAACTCTTAAAAATGTCGCTCTTGGGTTAGCTTATTAAGTTTCCACTCTGGGATGAAGGACGTGTCTTGAGCAGTTTGCTTCCTAGCGACGTCTGTGTCTCTCTTTTCGTCGTCTCAGTTACAATAGAAAATAAGAAAAAAAAGGGCTTCTGTGTTGCGTTTTGTTAGTTAGACATGTTATCTATCATCAACTGTCAGTGTCTTTGTACTAACATGAGTAAACTTAATGTTAATGTATCGCAGAAGCTATATAATTCATTAATTACACAAAGAAGACATTCCCGATCAAATGTAAAGCAATAATTAAGAAGAACAAAATAAAAGCCTACGTTTACAACCGCGTAATTCAAAAGTAGTCAAATAAGCATTGAAATCCTGAAATAAATAACCACTACAAGATCAGTATTTAACTACAACAATAAAAACTTTGAAATGAGAAAAAAGAAAACTCGCTTTTATATCAAATCACAACACTAAAAGTCTGAGCAACAGCATATCACAGGGTTTATCATAACCTACATGTATAGCATATGGTTAGTACATCATAGATCAATGATATGCAACATAGACGCAGCATTATTTAAGCATTTCGAATTTCAGTTTCATCACAATACAACTTCCATACAGCAGAAGCTGTATCTGTCGTCGTCGTTTATCGCGGGTCGCTCTTGGGCTCCTCCTCCTGCGCCAGCGACAGGACTCTGGAGGTGCCGCCGTTTCGAGTCGGTCCCTCGCTCGGCCGGGGCGGCTGCATATCGGAGTTAGGGTCTTCGTTCTCCCGTTGTTGGGCCTCGTCTGCTTCACCTCCTCCCCTTCACTCCAACCTATCGCCCATTGTTCTCTATCTCCTCCTTACGTCAATTAATGACATCTGTCAGAGTGCGGTTGTAAGACCATTAAATCGCCTTAATCATCATTATCATGACAACTTTCAAATGTAGAATCTCCCCGTGTTCGGAATCCCGGTCACGTCGTGGGTCGCAGCGCCATCTCTCGCCGAAGAAAGCCAGAGAGTGAATCTCTACATTGAAAACATTAATAGAGAAAGGGTGATAGGATCCACATCCGCTGTTGTGGTTCTTTCGAGCCCAACTTTATGGTGCAAAAACTTAATGGTGCACAAGAAAGATAAAATCAATCCACGACGACCGACCAGTGAGCCGAAGCTGTTGTTAAAATATGTATTACGACAGAAAAAAAGAAAAAGAAAAAAACAACCACCATGCAGACCCCCACCGGATTTTATGGCATTCGGCGGATTTCGCGCACACAAAATAAGTGGTGTTGCGGTGGATCCGGAGACGGTTGGGCTGCAATTCCGCGAGATTGAGAGTAAAGTCGTGTTATTACATTTGAGGCTCTTCGCTCCAGACCTCCTCTTTATCACAGTGCTCCCCGAGACGCAGGGAATCATCTCCCCTTCGGATCTGGGGATATTTATTCCGAGGAGGATAACACGGCCTATCCACGCGACAGGTAGGCAAAACCCCCAACTTACTTACTTACTTACTGGACATGTTTTGAGTAGAAGGCGGATCCGAGTCTCTCGGGGAAACGAACGGAATCGGTTTTCGAGTTTTGCGAGCCGTCATGGTGCCTGACGTAGAAATCGCAGCCGAGAGGGAGCTGTTTGGGGGACTTTTAATGAGGTACGAGATTCCGCGTGCTTGCGTAGAAGAAGGATTGGTTAATTCGCGGAAGATATTTCAGCATTCTCAATAATGGCGCTGAGATCCCCGGCCGCGACACGAGATACCTTAGCAATACTCTGTTTACATGCCTGGAATCTCTCCAAGACAAGACGGTCCCGACTTCAACCTCTTAGTCTCTGACATCGAATCGTTTACATCAACACATCAACCTGTTAATGTCATTCAGTCGAATATTTATCATAAAGACTGCTTCTCTCGGAGAGAAAAAATGTTTAATTCATATCAAGAGTTCGTTTGATCTTGGCAAGTACAAAATGGCGGCCGGCGCGAGGTATCTCCTTCAGCGGTCACGGAGCGGCCAGACCTGCGGCCGCTTTTGATAGCGAGGCGGGCAATCTACGGAGGGGGCGGCGAGGAATGCGGCTGGGCGAAGGGGCGGGCGGACGGGGCCTTATATCATCAAGTTGGTCTAATGTATGCACAGTCAGAGATATTTCCTGACAGGGGGACTGGTAGTACAGCATTGTCACTGCAGCTGCCCCGACCGCCCGGCAAAAACGAGTCAAACTACACTCCAACTAATTAGAATTTTTGATATATAAACCAGCCCACGGAGAACAAAGCTGCTTCATCTGCGGACCTCACAAGATTTGTTAAAAATTTAGTGCTCAATGACGCTGTTGGCTCTTTGGCGGACGCGCTGGACAAGGAGGATGGCGCCAGACTCGCTGCGCCGGCTGCGGAGGGGCTGTGCCTCCTCTGTGTTATTTTGAAGATGAATTAAAGGAATGCAGCTTATGACCTTAACCATGAAAATGCACAAGTGCAGAGAGCCTGCTGTATCTTTCTTGTCTTCTAAAGGCTGCAGCAGGCATTCCTTACACCTTCTGCACGGTGTTTGCAACCACTAACGAACATTCCTTCAATTTCAGAGGACATCGTGCCTTGGCGACTCTCATCCGCGCCGCCCCGCGAAGATCACGGCGAGGCGCTGGCGCTCTCGCGGGGAGAGCGATTTCATTCATGAACCGGCGAAGGTGAAGGATTTTGCGGTGCTGTAGTGCTGGCAGCTGTGGAAGTACAGCTGGACGTCGGCTGAGAATGGGGAGGTGAAGGCTCTGTCGGGCGTTGGTGGCGTGTTGAAAGGTCCTGCGGGCTCTCCTGCTGGTGGTGTCTCCCCGCGCCCTCCAGCACAATATCTACCCATGCCCGGAATCTATCCGCGCCCCCCGCCGGCACTGGGCCGCGAGGGGGCGGTCTCGGGCTGCCTTCCTTCTCCGAGACCTCGAGGTTGCTGCTTTCGTCGTCCCTTAGACTGGGGGGCCGCGAACTGCTCTCGCTGTGACGCTTTTCTGCGACTAATGGACTCGGACTCTCCTCCAGTATCTGCTGCTGACATTTAGGGTCTTTGAACTCGGGACTAGGGCTGTCAGCTGCGTTTATCTGCGGCATTTTCTCTCTTGCAGCAGGTCTCGGGCTGTTCTCCTTCCCGAGAACCATAGGGCTGCCCTCTCTTCGAAGGGGCCTGGGAATGCTCTCCCTGCCAAGGGGCTTTGGGCTGTTTTCTCGGCCGAAGGGCCTGGGACTATTCTCTCTGCTAAGAAGTTTTGGACTGTTCTCCCGGCCAAAAGGCCTCGGGCTGTTCTCCCTGCCAAGCGGTCTTGGGCTGTTCTCTCTGCCGTAAGGTCTAGGACTATTCTCCCTGCCGAGTGGTTTAAGGCTGTTTTCCCTGCCGAATGGCTTTGGGCTGTTCTCTCGCCCAATAGGTTTGGGGCTGTTCTCGCGGCCAAGCGGGAGGGGGCTGTTTTCCCTCCCAAGCGGCCGAGGGCTGTTCTCCCTCGACGCCACACGGCAGAGCGCGTGCAGCGCAGACATCTCCCGCAGAGGCCCCGCGCGCTGCACGACCACCTCCTTGAAGCCGTCTTGGGGTTCCGTCTTGGGCTGGATCAACAACCTTGGCTCAGCTCTGGGGGGACAGTTGCTTTCGTGCTTGGCCTTCAAGGGCAACGCGTCCTCATTCTCGCACTTCACGATGGTGTTGTGATCGGGCTCCGTCTTAGATCGCCCCCGGCCCGCTGGGTATCGGAAGCCGCACTGCACCTTGGAGGACACAATGCCTAGCGCCCGCGTGCGGCGCCACAATGTCATTACAGGGATGTTGCAACGTTCAGCCGCGGGCTTGATGGGCGTGCCGGCCTTCACCAGCGCCAGGGCCGCCACAAGGTCACTCTGGGTCCACCTTGACGCCCCCGACTTTGGAGCAGACACAGCTCCTTGGATGTTTTCCCAGGTCCCCTCCAGGGCAGCTTTTCCGACCAGACGCCCTGGAGCGTTTGGCCCTCGGGCGTGGGTGACCGTGTTGTTACTGTGGCCTCTGATGTGCTGGGGCGCAGCGGCCGGCGAGCTGATGCCGCCCGTGACGGCACTCGTCGTGATCGTAATCACTTTGGGTTCTGGGCTCACGGCCGAGGGACCTGGCTTCCCGGCGGCCGCGGTAATGGACACGGTGTTGTCCGGCGCAGAGCCATTCGCGGCGGTGGTGATCGAGGGAAGGCCGCTGGCACTCGAGACGACGGAAGTTATGGATATTTTGTGCGTTACCGGCTTCGGGGTTGAGCTGATGGCGTCTTGCTTAGCGAGGGGGTTGAGGCCTGGCTGGATCACAGGCGCTGATGACGAAGGAGGCGGCGGCGCTGGAGGAGGTTGCTGCACCTTGGAGAGCGACATGGCTAGTGTCTTTGGGGTGGCCGCCGCCGCTGCTGCCTTGGAGGACGAGCCAGCTGTCTTGGAGGCCTTCGAGGTGTTGGGCGGGTCGGGGAACATGGACGGGAAGACTGGACCGCCCCCATCTGCAAGGAAAGCGTGTGGGTGACGGTGCTAGGGGAGGCGCTCGTTAGTGAACAACCACACCCACACACCCAGCGGCAACACGCCCTAAACCATGCGTGTTAGTCACCCATTACACGCACCAAACCGTACGCCCAACGGCCACGCAAAATAGGCTACCACCAACTTTGGCGACGATCTACAGCCCGCTAGTTGATAGCGCCATCGTTGTCATAATCACAGATTCACGCTTAAAACTCGAGCTTTCAAGAAGGGACTAAATCTCCTTTAAGACAAGCTTTAATCCCCGAAAGCTGCACATCAAGCTGAATCTGAAGATCATGGACCACTAAAAATACACGGGGAATGGGGAATGGACAAGCTATCTACCCAGTGCACGCCGGTAGATATGGTAGACTGGTTGGTAGTTAGGCATACATGCGCCAAGGACCTTCAAAGCTTCACACAAATCATTAATAGCCCTATCAACCTGTGCCTTACTCCATGTACAACGCCTTCTCCATTACTTTAGCCTTCTACGTAATCTACTGTACATCTACGTCATGTTACTGTCAACACTTACATCTCAAGTATTACGTAATCAGGTGCTGTCTCTAGCAACTTCACATCTACCCTCTCCTCTGACTGGAGCATCTCAACATACTTCTAAAATAAAAATTTACACAAAAGAATAATCTGACTTCCTTTAGGTTGAGATTCCAATCACCGTCGACTCGTTCTCGTACACGTGATCACCCTCAAACACTCGCACTTCCATTTCAAGACAAACAAAGCTAAAAATAAAACAAACAGCATTCGTCGAAGGAATGAAAAAAGACGAGAAAAACGACACATGAAACTTTAATTAATTCATAGGAGCCCATAGCGTTGGCAACATAACTTGGGATTCATCAATCATGATTTGGAGCGAAACAAGCCCTCACCCCCTCCCTCTCCCCCCCTCCTCCGATCCCCCATACCCCCCATTGCCCTATCCTAGAGTTCCCCTCCTGGTGGATCAAGTGCCCTGCCCCCGCCCTGCCCCCACCCCCGCCCCTGCCCCTGCCCCGGCCCCGCCCTCCCCTTCAGAAACCAGCTATCACGTGTTCTCTACATTATAAGGAGTCGTCTGCAAGTCGTCGTCGTCAGCGAGGTTCTACAGTGGCTTCCTTGTCGGCCAGAGCAACTTACAGAGACCAGTCCACGAAAGGTTTATACACATAAATTACTTTACCGCGTTTGGAAAACATCATGCACTTCCTTTCGTGAACTCTCAAAGTAGAAAAGTAAAAAAATAATAGTAGTACTTTCTTTGCGTGTTGGCAAAAAAACCCGTGTGGTTGGCTTTGTGTTTGGCGAATCGAGAGAGAGAGAGAGAGAGAGAGAGAGAGAGAGAGAGAGAGAGAGAGAGAGAGAGAGAGAGAGAGAGAGAGAGAGAGAGAGAGAGAGAGAGAGAGAGAGAGGGGGGGGGGGGGGGACAGAAGGAGAGGGCGAGCGGAAGCGTTGAGCAAGCCACCAATCTCCCAGCATCGCCGCACGAAGGGAAGGACCGCGATAGACGCCCATACTTCTTCGTTCGCTTCGGCTGCAGTGCGTCGGGCGTGAGAAGGACAAGGGAGCGGAGCCGATGTCTGTCAGTGCCATCTCACGAACGGCCATCGGAAGAAGGGCGGAGGGAGAAGTAGGGAGAGGGAGGAGGGAGAAATGGGGAGAGGGCGGAGGCCGATATAGGGAGAGGGGTGGCAAGGAGAAAGGGAAATAAGGGAAGTTACGAAATATAGGGGAGGAAGGAGAGGAAAGAACGGAGGAGGGAAGGATGTGGGGAGCAGAGAGAGAGAGAGAGAGAGAGAGAGAGAGAGAGAGAGAGAGAGAGAGAGAGAGAGAGAGAGAGAGAGAGAGAGAGAGAGAGAGAGAGAGAGAGAGAAAGGGAGGGGAGGACGACGGGAAGGGGAGGGGGAACGGAGACAGAGGAGAAAGACAAGAGTAAGGGAAAACGTGAAACAGGGAAAAGGGAAAGGGGAAAGGGTAGAATGGGAAAAGGGTCAGAAAGGAGAGAAAGGTAAGAGAGAAAAGACAGGGACCGGGGCATTAGCCGAGGCGTATTTGACCGCCTCGCCAACCCCCGCCTCCAGTCCGCCATCGCCACTTAACAGTAAAACCTCTACGGCTTCCGTCGTCGCCTCCGCCAAGCTGTCGGATCAGATGTTAATGAATAAGCAATCTGTGTGCAGGCGGCTCGAGATTTCTATGCTCATTCTGCCCGCCCTTTCAATGAATATCTATTGTGAAATGTCTGTTTATCTATCTACATATATTTATGACTTTATCCATCTAGCTTTATATCTCAATCTATCGACCTATTTTTATATATTGTATATAATAAAATATGATTATATGATGCTTTCATTTTCGAAACACAATCTGAGGGTTTTTCTCTTACAAGTAGTATAAGGAACAGATCATTTTCGAGACAAATTTACACTTCACAGATTACTATTCAACCAACTCTCTCTCTCTCTCTCTCTCTCTCTCTCTCTCTCTCTCTCTCTCTCTCTCTCTCTCTGCAATAGACGGCCGCGGGTTCTCTCTATGGCAACTCGTACCCCCCCCCCCCCCCGGTATCTTGAGGACTTCCCTAATAAACATAAAACAATTACGTTCGCTTAATACACGGAACTGTCCCGACTGTCCGGTTAACGACCCGCAACGCATATCATTATATTGACGACATACAGAATAACCCGGATGATTGGGCTTCGTATTTACTTATCAAGGTTATTGGCTATTATTACCCAATTTGAAAAATCATAAAATTAGGGCAATTTCTAAAGACCTCAAAGTATCACGTTTCGTAAAAATATTCTGAAATGGCCCAAAATTAGTTGATGGAAGCCACATGGAAGTATCCAGTAGCAAACAGAGAAGAAAGGAGAGTAATAGTTATAAAAATTATGTTACAGTTATATAAACGGTAATGGGATAGTCAATAATAATATATAATAACGATGGCAATATAACAACAATGATACTAAGAACAATAACTATAATAATAATAAAATAAAATAATCATGACAATCTAATACTAATACTAACAATAATGCCGACGACGAAAATACTAATAATAGACGATAAGAGTAATAACAACGATATAAATGTGACCCGCAGACCCGTCCCGCCTCACGCGCTGCCGGACACGTAGTAACCCCCAAGAACCCGGACGAGACGGAGATTGTCGACTTGATCTCGCAGTCTCGAGATGAGTCCGCATTACGATAGCCATAATAAAACAATTCTGCGAGTCTAGGAACTGCCTAGGCCTAGCGACAAGGCGGGAGCGGGCGAGCGAGCGAGCTAGCTTAGGCGTGGCACCGCTGTCGCAGGAACGGCGCTCCCTTCGACACGTCTTGCCTTTTGTCGTCTTTTTTTTCTCGGAGTGTTTTTCGATTTTCTCGTTCGTTTGGGAGTGCGATTTATAATACAAAATATGCAGTATGGACGAGGAGAGAACGGAAAATATAAATAATAAACTATAGGAATAGCAAAACAGTCCCAGAAGACTTGAAAGTTCCCACAGATTTCCCACGTGTGAACTGGAGAGTCGGTCGGCACTCGGAGGCATCGCGGCGGCAGGGCAAGCAAGACGAGCAAGGCGAGGGCCGCGAACACGGCAACGCAAGGCGGGGACAAAAGGCTCCCCTCCAGGAGTCCCCGGCAGGAGTCAAGCGCCCCGAGGCCGAAGCGCGCCCAGCCCAACCTCCTTCAGCGCCTTCGCCAGCCCCAACCGGCCGACCTCTCCTCCCGTGAGATGTCTTGTATAGGACACGAGAAGAGTTTGAACTCCACTCAGAGGCAGAAAAAAGTCCTTTCATAAGCAGACACAGCGAGTGAGCAATTTTGCCAATTTTGTCGAAATGATCGTCAAATAGCATCGCTCACCCGCCAAAATCCATTCGTTCCCATCCAGCAGTCAAGCCAAAAATAATGCGACCGGATGAAAAATCGATGCCGGGTAATATAAGCGCGATAAAAAATAATGCAGACGCAGGAAATGTTGAAATATTAGGAAATATACTTGCCAAGTCCCACGCGCGCAAATTGACGGAGACCTATATTCGCGCGGCCCGCATTTTAGCCGGGTTTATAAGTTGGCTCCGCGCTCCTTGAGGGTTACAGACAGTGGCAGTTCCCGCCCTGCTGCTCCTGGCGGAACGCGGGGCTCTTCCAGGCGCAGGCACGGCGCTCCACCTTCGACACGTCTTGCCTTTTTAGTCTTTTTTTCTCGGAGTGTTTTTCGATTTTCTCGTTCGTTTGGGAGTGCGATTTATAATACAAAATATGCAGTATGGACGAGGAGAGAACGGAAAATATAAATAATAAACTATAGGAATAGCAAAACAGTCCCAGAAGACTTGAAAGTTCCCACAGATTTCCCACGTGTGAACTGGAGAGTCGGTCGGCACTCGGCGGCATCGCGGCGGCAGGGCAAGCAAGACGAGCAAGGCGAGGGCCGCGAACACGGCAACGCAAGGCGGGGACAAAAGGCTCCCCTCCAGGAGTCCCCGGCAGGAGTCAAGCGCCCCGAGGCCGAAGCGCGCCCAGCCCAACCTCCTTCAGCGCCTTCGCCAGCCCCAACCGGCCGACCTCTCCTCCCGTGAGATGTCTTGTATAGGACACGAGAAGAGTTTGAACTCCACTCAGAGGCAGAAAAAAGTCCTTTCATAAGCAGACACAGCGAGTGAGCAATTTTGCCAATTTTGTCGAAATGATCGTCAAATAGCATCGCTCACCCGCCAAAATCCATTCGTTCCCATCCAGCAGTCAAGCCAAAAATAATGCGACCGGATGAAAAATCGATGCCGGGTAATATAAGCGCGATAAAAAATAATGCAGACGCAGGAAATGTTGAAATATTAGGAAATATACTTGCCAAGTCCCACGCGCGCAAATTGACGGAGACCTATATTCGCGCGGCCCGCATTTTAGCCGGGTTTATAAGTTGGCTCCGCGCTCCTTGAGGGTTACA